AAATTTTGAGTAATTTTAATTTATTTAATTGTCCAAAATTGTCCAAAGTGTCCAAACTTACTGTCCACAACTGTCTTGTAACAATACTGCAAATAGTATAGCATATGTTAATCTGATGATCTTCAATTAAAGCAGCACAAGCAGGGTGTGGCAACTTAGTGAAGTTGGTAAATTGTCACACCTCAAGCAGCAGAACAAGAATTTGAATCTCACTGCTGACAAAATTCGAATTTTATAGAATGTGTTATGGCAGACTGTGTGTAATCTGATAGATCATCAGATCTGTAGCTTTGTTCATACCAGCTTGTACTAGAAGAATGTGAAACTATAGTGTGATACAAGAGTTACATGAAATCTGAGTAAAGCATTTGTATAAATTTAAGGGTTGGTGTATACAGAATCCCACTTGGCAAATCCCGAGTAGAGAGGTAATACAAATCTTTGATGGTGCTATATAAAGGATTATCAACTAAAGAACTGGAAACTGAACAGGACTGAGATATTTAGCAAGACATTATATTAACTAGGCTACTAGTAAGAATTGGAAAAAGAGATCTACCCTTCTAAGCTATCTGGATTAGAAGTTTGGAGACCGATGAAATAGTAGATAGTCCATAAAGTGGGTACTGAGGTTTGGGTAAACTTTACAAGAGCAAGGGTAGGTAATAGTAACGGCTTCGGCTTACAAATACTCGTTCTTGGACTTGACATAAGTTACCAAAAGACTAGATTAGCCAGATTGTTGATAAAGAAAGCTCTAGCAATAATGCTTTGAGGATAAATTAGTCCTAAAGCTACGGCAAGCATTCAGTACTTCTCGACTAACAAATATAACAGAGATGTTCTGGTGATAACAAGTGAGAATTAATTGTATTACAGAGAGTTTAAATAGATAACCTCCTAGTTGGGTTATAGATATGACAGCTAGTGTAGAACCTATAGTGTATAGTTATTTATATGTAGACTACTTAAATAGATACTCAAAAGGCACATATGTGACTAGTTGTACTCTCTAATATAATTCGAGGTTCTGCTATGAGCCTCTCACCCCCAATATACTTGAATAAAAACCTCTGCACCAAAGAGGCTAGTTAATAAAAAAAAAAAAAATTAAAGCAACACAAGGTTATAAGCTAATATAATTGTGATAATGATACAGGATAGAAGATATCAGAAAGTTTAAATAGGTAATTTTCTAATTAGATTATAGATATAGCATATAGTATAGAACTTTCGATGAACTACTTAAATAGATAACCAAAAGTTGCACATGTGGCTAAATGTACTTTCATTATCAAGAATATACTTCTACATATCACTAAATAAGTTTTTAAAAAACTCCTATTTCGTCTCTATTGGAACAATTTAAAATTTTTTATATATAATAGCAAATCTAATTTAAATAGTTATATTTCTTATAATTTTATCTCTTCAAAAAAAGTATCAAAAAATTTTGTCTTTTAAGTAAAATAGGTCAAAAACAATTTTGTTTTCAAATTTAATTTCATACCCTGAAACCTAAAATAATTTCATCAGTATGTATAAATATATTAAAATATCTAATAAAAATTTGCCTTTTTATGATATTGCAAAGATTAAAATAATAATAATAATAATAATAATAATTGTTGTAGCTAAAGCTAGAAATTGGCTAAAGCTAAAAATTTTAAATATTTTAATATGAAATTTTTAAAAATTTTTGGAATACAATTTTTTAGCTTTTTTTTCATAATTAGCTTAAAATTTAGGGTTAGTTTTGATAATAAAAATGTATAAGTAGATTTTGGTAAAGTTTATATTTTTAAATCGAGGTCCTTAATTTTTAGTTTCAGCTATTTCCAGCTACAGCCATGACAATAATTATTAGAAAACAAAAAAATAGGAACTTAAAAAATACAAAAAATAGCAATCTAAACCTACCTTAGGTAAACAATTTTGCTTATATATAACTACCTAAAAACTAATCTAATTCTAATATAAAATGACTTTAAAGTTAATTAAGAAAATTATTAAAAATATAAGTACCTTTACTTTAGACGTTTTTTATTTTTGGACTGTAGTATATAGGATTGAAAGTTATATAGTATAATAAATTTTAGTACGTATAAATACCAGGTTATTTTACTTATAATATCTATAATTTCATATAGATTTGACACTTTTTTCGGTTAGCATTGTTACACTAAAATATTATGCCAATTATACGGAAATTTAATACCTGATAATTATACTACGTATACCAATTATCGTTATACAGTTATTATACCATTTTTATTGATACGGTATCGTATAACGATAAATAAACTATTCGAGTTAATAATATTGCCATTTATTTTCATTTAATTTACGTATTAGTCTAAACATTCCAAATAACAATAAGCTATTCAAAGTTCATTATATTTACTATTTAATTTAATTTTAAAAAAATATATGACGCCTTTTTGTAAGGCTGATTAGTACGTAAAGGCAATTTGCAACACCAGATCATTGGTACATTATACGTGTAATGGTGTTTTCTATAATGCAAAATAGTGGTACGTACGTATCCGTATAAAACCGGTATGGCACCATTTAATCGACATCACGCGACGAGATAATATTTAGCATGTTATTAGTAAATTGACATATAACACGATAACACGATACGTATCAGCTGTAACGGTAAGATGGAACCGATGAGATATATTTTTATATAATATTTGAGTGTCGCTAAAAGAAAACCCGAAAATTTAAATATGATTTATATTTAAATTGTCGGGTTTTCTTTTAGCGACACTCATTTAAGAAATTTTAAAAAAAGGTTAAATCATACGATACGTACGTACGTACAATATCGGTGATGTTCAGCGCCATACCAAAATTATTTCCAAACCAATTAAATTATTGATTTTTCTAATAAATATTATGAAATCAAAAAAAAAAAAACAAAAAAAAAGAAACAAGTTATACTAAGAGAAATAAATGTTACGTAAACACCATTAGAATGAATAAATATGTACAGTACGAATAAAATAAAGTTTAAAAATTTATAATTTACATGAGATAATACCTTTTTATTTGCCTTATTTAGGACATTTGAAACAAACCAATAATGTTTTATATAATATGATGAAACCCTAAGAATCATTTTTGATGATCGATATTCTTTTTCAATAAAAATATTTTCGGCAATCCAAGGATCTGTTAGACATGCAGATGCGTGCCATAGATAGATTGAATGAAATAGAATTTTCTATTGTTAGATTTATCCCGTGAATATCAAGCATAGATCGCTAAAATTTATAAAGTAATTGCATTCTATCAACCCTGATTAATATTAAGCAATATATAGGATAATCAGTATTCTTTAAAAAAAAGCTAAAATTTTATAAAATAAACTCACAATAATATATATGTAATATATGCTATGCCAGCTTTTGATGAGAATTTGTGATGGTCCTGGTGAAAAAAAGGTCTTGATAAAATTTGTATAATCAAATCGATAATAACACTGATAATAATAATTATAGATCATATTTTTACGCGTTACTATTTTTTAAAAAATTTAAAATTAAGTTTTTTTTTTCTTTTTATTATTATTAAATTGAAAAATAAAATTACTTTTGGTTTTTTTTTTTTTTTTTTTTTGAAATAAAAATAACAATAAGAATAAAATAATCAATGAATAAACTTATTGATTGCCGAACACTACCTTTTTTTTTCCCTTTAGAAATAATGACATGACAATTAATGTAAAAAAGGTGAATATATACAAAATGTAACAAAATATTTGTGAATATGTTAAAATTTACAGTAATAAACCAGGAACATTTGAATTTTGTGAATCATTGTTTTTTTTGCAATCGAATTGAATTGATCCAAATAAAAATCGGTATGAATGAAGATGCAAAAACTTTTTTAAAAAAAAATCGACTGAGATGGTAATTAAAAATCGACCGAGATGGTAATTAAAAATCGACCGAGATGGTAATTAAAATATCGACCGAGATGGTAATTAAAATATCGACCGAGATGGTAATTAGAACTTAACAAACACCACCGACTTGAACTAACCCATCAGAAGACCAAACTACCACGCCTTCTTTCAATTCTTTTTTCCAAACAACACCTCGATATTGAAAGGTCCAAAAACTCCACCAGCAAATCATAAATATTCCAGAGATAATGCTACCCCAAAGAATATCAAATAAATTGGGAAATCTAGAAAGATCGGTATGATATAAAGCGATTCCATCATCAAAGGAAGCAGTATAATTGAAAGGAACATGAAACCAAAACTTTAAAGCTTCCCAAAAAAGGATCCAACCAGCCCCTGAACCAGCGATACACCAAGTTCGGTAAGACCAGGATTTGGCCGAATCCAAAATTGTTAAATGTTCCCAAGTTATTAAACCCCAATGGTTGCGGCGCATTGCCAAGAGAAGAATAAAAGATAATATGGGCAAAGTAGTTGATTTCCATTTTCCATGGGTTAAAAAAGGGGCGACATTCATTGGTTCGATAAGATATTCTAAATCATATAAAACTACCGAACCATTTTTGCTTATATAATAATTGTAATAATAACCTTGCATACTACTTGTTGTGAGTGTTCTTGATAATAATGGTTCAGGAAAATTCTCAGGTTTTATAAGCCATAAACACATCGCCCATCCTGACCATATGACCCAAGTTCCGTATAAAACGAAAGCTTTTTCGAGTTGAGTTTTTTTGAGTAAATTAGCTAACAAAGTAGCAATATGAAAACAAGTAGTAGTGACATACACCAATTGAGTAAATGACGTAAGACGTGTTGCTGGTATGGAGGTCGATGGTGTAATGAATAGTGTATGAAGGTGTTGAAATATTATCGAAAGATGAACAAAGAGAGTAAACGATGTATAACCCGTATTGCTATTAGATTAAAAATAATAGTAGATTAGGATAGTGTTTAATATTATACTAAATATTATACTATTACTAGATAATAATAAAAACTTACATTTTCATTAGTGAAAAACTTAATCTTGTCGAGACAAAAATGAAGTTGTTATTCCACGTGTTTTTTTTTAAAAAAAAATTATTAAAAAGTTTGACCCTGAAAATCTAGAGTTTATAAAAAAACCTGAGATAGAAGAGAGGATTTTATATAATTTTTTATCTTTCTTGTTGATGTGTTTATTACCAAATTACCAAAGGTATTTATATTTTTTATAAAAAAAATAACCTCTACATTGTATCGAACGGGCAGATGGGAAAGAGAATGGATTTTTAAATAAAAAAAACAAAAGGGGATTTTGTAAAGCAGGGTGTATTTTTTTTTTGTGTACTAACCATATATATTTCTTGATATGCATGTCATTATCGTAGAATTTTCAGATACCGATGCCGTAATCCTGTTTGTACATCTTTTGCTTGTCATTCCTTTTCCTTTCACATGCAATTCTCTGGAGGAATAACTAAAATCACCAGTTGAAATAAATTTAACATTTGATATTTATTTGATATTTATTTGATATTATTTGATATTATTTGATGATATTATTACTTGATATTATTAGTTCGGAAATCAACCCCCATACACCGATTAAATTACGAGATGTTCATTAGATTGTTCACAAAGGTGATCCAAATTGCAATGGCCGAATATCTATCTAAGCAAAAATGTAACCGCATGTGTTTCTGAAAACTTTTTATCCCATTTAGTATGAAATCATGCTGAAATTATAACATTGGACAATTGAGCAAGTTTCGGGCACGGTTATCAAGTACATACAATGTAACTTATGTACTGTAGCTCATGATTCATAAGAATTTTCAGGAGCTTCTTGTGTTCATGTGTTCAATTTTTTAGGGCTGTTGGTCTGTGATACTGCCGTCATTAATTCCAAAAAAAAAAAAATGAAATTCAATGTCTTTGATTGTAAATGTCAAAAGCACGTTTTTAAAAGAAATATAATATATTATAATAATATACATATATATGTATATATACATAATATACGTATATACATATCAATATATTTTTATATTTTATGTTTTATGTATACATATATCGATATTCAGATATCAATTATAATTACTAACATTTTAATTACCAATTAAAGTAATTTAGGTAATTTAGGTAATTTAGGTAGGAAGGAACTTACAAGACTTTAAAATTTTAAAATTTTAAAATATACACTGGCGCCAAAAAAAACGTAATTTGGATCTAAGTAATCGATCTTTATTAATTAAAAAACTTACAAATAGGAAGTCGCCTAGAACATTTTATCTTTGTGGAGATAAAATAGATGAAATCATAATAATTATTACTGTATTATAATTATTATTATTATAATTTCCATAATTTCCAATAATCTAAGGAATCTACGTAAGAACAAAGTTTATCTAGAGCGCCAAAAATTGCGATGGAAAACCATGGTAACTATTTTAATCTTTGTTGGATAAGTTCTTTTCTTTAAGCCCTCTGATTAGATCCGTGTAAGGTTACACCTAGCCCTGTAAGGCTTGTAATACTGCGGTGAAAATTTCGTAACGATAACCGAAAGAGAATGTGCATTCCATCTGGGTCTAAGATCTAACCATGTATAGATGTTTGTTTACTTCCTTTCCACCATATTTTTCACATCACTCCTTAAAAAATTAATTTTCACATATATCAAATTTCAAGTTTTATAACAGGTTATATAATACTGTAAGACTGTAATATGGCATTAGCGTTAGTCTTAGGATTCAGCAGGCTCTTATGCGATTACTTGCTTTTTTAAGCCTGTCAATAAAAGTAATAAGAGGTGGTATGAGCTTTTTTTTTTTATCTTTAATTCTTGAATTAATTCTTGTATTAATTCTTGAATTAATTCTTGTATTAATTCTTTGAATTAATTCGTTGAGATTAAAGGTTATATAGAAAGTAAATATGAATAATATAAGAAAAAACCTATTTGTCGCAATGTGACATTAAGTCGTACATTATATTAATATCAATATTAATATATATTAATATTTATATTATATTATTATATTATACTATAATATATATTATATTAAATATATTATTTTAGGTATACATATTAGATTACATCATATTATATATATAAATTATATTATATGATACTATATTACGTTTATAATATATAATCTATATATCTGATATTGCTATAGTAAATACTGAAATAACCAGAACGGTATATATGCACTAAATGTTACTCAATTTTAAGGAAATGTTGGTGGTCAGTGCCCGTATCCAATCAAACAATTAAATATCTTGAACATATGATGGTATCATGGAAAACTGTGAATAAATACGTAAATAAGTACGTAAATAAGTATGTAAATAAGTATATATGTAAATAATGATAAGTATCATGGTATGAAATAAGTACGTAACGTAAGTACGTACGTAACGTAAGTATACCTATACTAGATATCATTAAGATACAATGTAGCAATAGATTCAATAGATTCAATAGATTCAATAGATTTAAGATTTAATAGATTCAATAGATTCAATAGATTTTGAGAAACGTTATACGTAAAAACATAGCGTGATATTATAACGATAATGAATAATGAATGCTAATTTCTATTTTTTTGTTTTTTTTGAAACACGTGTCAGCTTTAATTTTAGTATTATGATTGGCTTTAGTTCAATATTAAATTTCTCTAGTTAAAGTTTTGCATTTTTTGCAGGTGATAAAGATGATCCTCATTACGTTTAATGTTTATCATCAGATCAATTTATCTTTAAATGACAAGGATTGTGGAGGCTTATTTCATTCTCATTACTTTATTAGAGTATGACGATCCTCTCCCTTGACAAGTCATACAAGTCATACAAGTCATCCAAAGCCATAATTACTTTATTAGAAGCATGCTTGATCTTCATCTTTGACAAATCAACGAAAGCAATAATTTATTACTTCTTCGCTCCCATGTTAAATACCGTGAAAATGGGCGGTTGGAATATGTGTGTTATTCATTTTAGGCTAAGACTTTGTAAATTGCCTTTCACTTTCTCTTTAATTGGTTTCGATTATATGCATTATTTATGCCGTACTACCAATTGAACCTGGCCATTCACATCAATCCTCTGATTTCCCGAATTGTTAATAAAATCTTGTGAATAAAAAACTTTTCTAGCAATTTCGTTATGTGAAAATTTTCTTGTACGTATCTGTACTATGTGAAAAAAAAAGAATATGATTACATAATGATTGTGAAAAGAATTTTTGTAATCTACCCGATGCATCAATAATACCGTGAAGAATTTTTGCTTTCTATTTATTCAAGCTTAATGAAAGGAACTTTAATTTACCTGCGTCTCAATTTTACCATATTCATTCGGTAAAAAGTGATTAATATGGTAGTTAAATCCTGACAAATAAAAAATGTTTAAATATTAACGTACGTACGTACGTACGTACGTACGTTAATATTCTTATCATGTTATGCGCATTTACACTGTACTGTACCTTGCTATTCTTCTCCTGTTTTCCCCTGTTACTGTATACATTCAACAAGTAACGGTAAGCGCAAAATAATTTTAATAAAACCTGATTGGAATGTAATTAGAATTACTATTGTAATACTTGGTACAAAATGGAAAATAAATAATTTCACATGAATCTACAAAGTTCATCAAAAAAAAAACCTGTAGTTTTTTAAAAATTCTTGAATTTTAAAAAATTCGCGTGATAACGATAAAAAGATCTTTATTAGATATGCTATCGCTATAATCATCTACGCATAATCAACTATAATCAACTATAATCATATTTTAAATGGGAATAAAGTTAATGTTCTGTGCTATTTTTATCTTCGTCATCATTTAAAGTGTCATTGATAACTTTAATGCAAAATGGTTTATATTGATAGGGATAAAAAATAGACCCATTTTTCGTTTCTTTGAAAAACGCCACTGCGGTCTGATCGATACTAGTAAATCTGATCAATTGTTCTTTCCATTGTTCATCATTCAAAAATTACATGTATTTTTCGCTTAAATAATATGCAGAATGATATGTCAACTTGTTGGGGAAGATCATTATCCAGTACCGGTATGCAAATTACCCTAATTTCATGTGCTTTTAATCCTTAGTGCTGCTGTATTGTTATCGTTATTACTTTGACATGTAAAAGACCCTTTTTTTGTTTTTGGAGAAAGTGAAGAACGTCGTTAATATTAATATTAATATTACTGTATTATGTACTACAATATATTGTATCTTAACATTAAACATTAAATTCATGAATACATAATAAAGTTGATCGATTTATAATCGATTTAATATTATTATTCATATGATAAAAAAAAATTTTTTTTTAGTGATTTTTATTTTTATTACGTATTCATATGATAAAATTTTTTGGTGAATTAAAAATTATGATTATTAATCAAAATTTAAAGAATTCTATTTTCAATTTATAGTCTTATTGTTCAACTCTAATCCAACTTTGTGAACAGTTTCTAAAAATACTTTGACATTCTCCGGATCAACTGTGGGTAAAATGCCATGACCAAGGTTTACTATATATCTTTCGTCAGTACCAAAAGCTTCAAGCATCCTTTTAACTGTAGTTCTAATTTGTTCATGGCTTCCATACAATACAGTGGGATCCATATTGCCTTGAAGTGTGACCCTGCCTTTGGTAATAGCCTTGGCATACGCTGGATCAATAGTCCAGTCCAATGAAATTGTATCATACCCAATATTAGACAAAGATTCAAGAGCATACCAAGATCCTTTACAAAATATGATCATTGGAACTGTTTCTATACCCTCCTGTTTAAGTTGTGTTTTAACTTTATCAGCTATTTGAGTAAGATATGGCAATGAGAAAATATTAAAATCATAAGGTGATAATTCACCACCCCATGACTCGAATACTTGAATCATCTATATAATAAACAATATATTAAACAATATATTAAACAATTAAACAAGTTAATTAAAAGTTAATTAAAAGTTAATTTTATGTTAATTTCAAAAATAAAGTCCATAATATTTTTATTAATTACAAACCTGAGCTCCGGCTTTGATTTGTCCAATTAAAAAATCTATACAAATATCAGTAATCATTTGTAACAATCTCTTTGATTCTTCTGGATAACTAAATAACCATGTTTTGGCTTTTGATAAAGTACTGCTACCCCCTCCCTCAATCATATACCCCATCAAGGTCCAAGGTCCACCAATAAATCCTATTAAAGGAACTCGTCCATTCAACGCTTTTCTTGTCACGGTAATAGCTTCGAAAACATATCCCAATTCCTCATCTACATTTACATGTTTACGTAATTTTTCAATATCTTGAGGAACTACTAAAGGGTCGGGAAAATGTGGTCCTTGACCGGGTAACATTTCAACAACCAACCCTAATGCTTGAGGTACTACGAGAATATCCGAAAATATTATCGAGGCGTCAAGTAAGCCATCATATCGGTCAATAGGTTGAAGTGTGACTAATTTTGCTAATTCTGGTGTACGGCAAATTGTAAAGAAATCATATTTTTCACGAACGGCTCGAAATTCTATACATTCATATATCTTATTAATTATTATTATATAATATAAGGAAATAATTTATAATAATTTTATAAAATTGTTATCAATTTTTTTTTTTTTACCAGGTAAATACCTTCCGGCCTGTCTCATAAACCATACCGGAGCACGCTCGGTTTTTTTTCCTAAATTAAAAAATTTAATAATTTAATAATTTAATAATTATAAAATATAAAATGAGTAAATATAAAACTTAATTTGACGTATATACCAAGCGCAGCACGCAAAATTAGATCATTCTTTAACGGAGGAAAATCAGTCATTAAGAATTTTTTTTTTTTTTTTTTTTTTTTTTGATGAAAATGATTAAATATTAGTATCACAGGTCATACAATGTATTCAATTAACCAATCAGTAGTTTACAATTAACCAATTAGTAGTTTATGATTAACCCAACTCAGTCAACGGTGACTCAAAATTTTATATAAAGTGAATGTGGGTATTATAATTATACGTAGTAAATTTGAGTACGTAGAGTGGTTATGTATTTTCTTTTAACGTTAAGAATACTTTTTTTTTTGCAATGCCCTTTGTTGCATGCGAAAGTTGACTAATAAAAAAAGTCATCCAAATTAGCTCCAAATTAGAGTCTGAATTTATAACCAGCTTAGTCGATTATAATTTATAACCGGGTTAAATTTTTTTGGTTTGGAAACCGTGAAAATTATGTTATCGTTATACGATTACCGAAAATAAGAACCCTTGGCCTGCACTATACCAATTTTGGCCTGCGTTATAAGCCAGCATTACATGCAAGGGGTGCTTATTTTCAAAACCAATCATTTAATTGTTTATTAGTCGTTTAGTCTGTTTGTTAATCGTTTTGGCCGTTTATTAATCGTTTAGCCGTTTGATCGTTTATTAATCGTTTAACCGTTTAACTGCTTATTAATCATTTAATAATCAAATAATCGTTTAATCGCTTAGCCATTTAACGTTAACCGTTTATTGATCAACATTACAACACATGAAAAAGTAAGGTCAGCTTTATTGATTGCAGCAAAAAAAAATACAAGACAAAATCATAAATGATAAAATACCAATGCAAGTTCGCAAATTTTCTAGCTAACCATATCAAATTTGACAAAATGTTGTGAAAAAATATGATACAGAATTTCGAATTACGTTAGATGATAGAAAAATTTAGATCTATTTTTTTTTTAAAAAAAAAACTTACTAATCTAGTTAAAACTCGTTTAGAACTAGGGATGGGTTCGGTTACGTTAGCCGGCGGTTAATAACCGGCTATGACGTTAACAAATTTTAAAATTCCGAGTTCCAAAGAAGGTATCGTTCTTTCCACTTATAATATGGGATAAACAAAATTTAATTCTGAACAATTTTAATTAATAGCTCAAGAATAAAAAATCATCTCAGTATTTAGCAAATTGGCTATGAATAATCGTAACCGTTCGTAACCGAACCCATCTCTATTTAGAACCATTTTATAGACGACTTATTTCGTAGACAAAATTTACAAACAGTTCATTTTAGATATATAGTTCATTTTATAGACGGTTTATTTAATATAAGTAAAACAGACTAGTAGAGTGTTATTTTTTTTTATCTATGAAATGAACTGTCTATGAAATAAACTATCTGTGAATTAACTGTCTTTAAAATAAGCTTGTCTATAAATTGATTGTGATGTCTACAAAATAATTTTCTGAAAATGTCTGTGAAATGATTTTCTATGTATTTGCTCATATTTTCCTTACACTAATATAGATATTTTCTCTATCTAAGAGATCATCTTCTGCTTCTTCGATCTTATCTATCATCTATTTAATAATTTCGGTAATCATTTCATCAACAATCACTTCACCGACAGCTTAGTTTACCGAAATTATATTCACCAAGTTCATTTTACCGACAATTAATTCACCGACTGCTCATTTCACAGACAAAGTAATTTTGGTTATCGAAATTAGGATCAATTAGAGTTAAGGCTAGTGTAATTTATAAAAAAAAAAAACTTGTCGATGAAATGAGTTGTCAGTGAAATAAACATTCGGTAAAGTAAACTTGTTAGTGAAATAAACATGTTAGTGAATTAATTGTCGGGTGAACTAAGCCGTGATTGTCAATGAAATGATACGTATTCTAATAATTTGTAGCCTGCCTTTTCTCCACTTTAAAAGATTTACCAAAGAAATGCATTTTAACTCCAATATTATGCTCAACTTTATTCTGTCTTTATTCACTCCATTAACAAAAATGTCAATAAATCTGAAGTGACCTGCACCCGAACTTTTTGATCCATCAACCACAAGACGCACTTCAGGTTGCGGTGTTTGGTTGCAATTGCAGTTGAAATACAGCTTTATTATAATCTTTAAACTCTTTAAAAGATTTGAATTATGGTAATTTAAATTAGATTAACATATGGTGAGATGTTGCTATTCAACATTGATTTGTATGTCAGATATTTATCAACAACAGGGTTATTTACGACGCTTAACTATTTGAGAAAAAATAAATTTAAGTTAGAAATTGATCAAAAAAGAACAGCTAGGTTTACTGAGTTCTGTTTATTTCAGTTTCCCTTGTTAGAATCTATCTAAACAAAGATAAGGGTAATCAGATATATACTACTAGGACGTGCCAGAAATATGCTAAGTTTTGAGAGCATAGCTCCCCTTGCTGAAACCAATATAGTTCAAGGAGTAGCCTCATCATAATCCTAAGTGCTATGACAGTCCGATAAAAGCAAAGTTTCTTCCTTTTAATATTTCCTTTTCTCGTAGTATCCGGCTTAGCCTATTATTTAGCACCATTTTCTATTCATATAACGAGGACCGATTTTTATCTTCACTGGGATATTTATACCTAGAAAAAGGTAACAAGTCCCATTAATAATCATCATCTTAATAGATGAGAAAAAAACATTCTTAAATTTTTATTCAGAATTGATTCTCATCTCCATTATTCGGATATGATTCATCGACTATCATAGAAGCTGGCGCTTGCATAGATACATTCGTAATTGGTAAAGACGTAGATTGATGCATGGCTTGAGTAACCTGTTGATAAAACGGTTGGGCCTATTTTCTTTGATCTCTTTTAAGGTCTTAGGGTCGTTTTTTATTTTTCGAATCACTTTAAAAAAACATCGGGTATACACTTCTTTTTTGATATTGTATGATTTTACCAAATGTATACACTAGTATTAAGTTTCCTTATCAAATTTGAAAGCATTATGGCAGGCTCTTAGCTGAGATCTTTTTTAATAAGAAAAGGAAAACTCGAATCCGAAATTTTTTGATTTCTTATTCATCGAGGTTTAATTCTTGACTTCTCAAAAAAGTTTGGTAATTTATCAGTGTCTCGTTTTTAAGAATATCAAGCAAACTTGTAGGAATCTTATTAGTGATAGTGTTTAAAACGAAAGTATATAAAATATAAGTTACTTTTATATAGCTCTTTTACGTGACTTTTATACGCGTGTCTTGTAATACAGAGGTGCATGCATGATTCCTAAATATCGGACTTTGATTCTGATTGGTCAATTACTAAATGTATTGTTACGTCGGTTCCGTTAATTTTACCGAAAATTACATCATCGACAACTTAGTTCACCGACAATTAATTTACAGCCAAGCTTATTTTACTGACTATTAATTCACAGACAAGTTCATTTCGCAGACAGTTTTGTTTCACCGGCAAAATAATTTTGGTCATTGTCATTAGGATCAGGTTCAGAATTAGAGTTAAGATTAGTGCAATTTATAAAAAAAACTTGTTGGTGAAATAAGCTGTTGGTGAAATAAACTGTCGATTGTCTGTGAATTAATTGTAGAAGTAGGGCAATTTTGGGAGTTCTGGGACACTTTTTTGTTACCCTGGGTAATAAATTAGTCTTCTTACCTTTTTCACATCTCTGTAAACCTATTTTCTATATCAACCCTTTAGTACCTATATAAAAACCTGGGTAACAAAAATTATATAGCTAGA